ATCAGAGAGCCATATTTTTGAGAGAGTTTCCAGAGAAAAATATGAGGGGAATGGGATGAGTTATCAAGCATCTGCATATGTAAATGACCAATCAAAGGAAGACCTGGCGGGCCAGGAGGAAGAAGAATATTGCCATTGTTTCTATGTTTTAGGAGAATGAATACGAAGAGGGGGAGAGCTAGAAGAAAAATCAACACCAATACTACTACCATTGTAATCTACTCGATCTACTGTGAAAATTTGAGACGAAGAGGACTAATTACCCGACTTTTGTCCCCAAGAAAATTTATTAGGAAAAACAATAAAATGTTGCAGCATAAGTTGTTGTATTAATAGCTATAAACTCATCACATCTCCAATTAAATTCAAACGTTAATTTTAATAAAATTAAATTAATATAAATTTTTTATTAATTTTTTAATTATAATTATAATAAATTTTATTATTTTTTAAAATTTTATCATAATATATTTTACCGTTCATCCAAATAAAATAATAATATTATATTGTGAATTGAAAGATCACTTCACGAAGAAAAAGTTCGAAAAGGTACAATTTCTCACTCAGGTTTGCTTCTAAAGTCGAGCAGGTGAAAGCCGCGAAGAAGCATCAGTAGCTCTCAATTGCGTCAGTGAATTTTACTTCCAACCGGGGCATTTGTTTGGGATTTAAAGGTTGAAAAGTACAAGGCCTTCACACATTTTACTTCCAAAGTGTGCTCCCAGTCAGTACACACACATTATTGAATTCCTTCACACAGTGGACCCAAGCTGCATACTTCCTTGGGCCCAGCTAAAATTATTGAGCTCAAGGTCAACGGTCAGTCTGATCAAAGCTGTGGAAGCCATATAGAGGCCACACTCAACTTCATTTCTTGGTAATGTTTGTTCCTCATTAATTCGAAAGATTAAATGGGATTTGATAATTTTGTTACTGGAAATATTGATTCAAATTTCATAAAAGATTTATTTAAAATTTGTTAAAAATTTGTTTGAAATTTGTCAGATATTATTTGATGGACAAGAAGACTTATAAAAGAAAAATTTTAAGAGAAAGAGGATTCTTAATAGACAAGTTTGACTTACAAGAGAAGAATTTTAAAAGAAAAGAGATTTTTAATAGGCAAGTTTAACTTACAGAAGAAGAATTCTAGAGGAGAGGGATTCTTAATGGGCAAGTTTGTATGGTTATAAATAGGTGAAGTCTCTACAAGGTTAAGTATGAGAAAAAGATGTAAGAGAGTTGTAAGATTTTGTAAGGTAGATACCCCATAGGAGTATTGGAGCTCTACGTCTTATGAGTGTGTATGTTTGTTTGTGAGTGGACTAGAAGAGATTGAGAGAGTCTACATAAGTATGGTGTATGGGAGCATATGGGTATGTGTTTGATTATGTTGAAAAGGTGCACAAGGGTTTGAGTTTATGTTTGTTTGAGTTGAGAATATTTTATAGGACTAGAGGAGATTGAGAGTGTCTTATGAGTATTGATTTTTGAGTGAAATTGATGATTTGATGTAAGTTTGTAATTCTCTATAATTAGTTGATCTTTTTTCTCATCCGTGGATGTAGATTAATTAGATCGAACCACGTTAAATTGTTGTTTCTTATATGTTTAATTTATTATTTGATTTCGCTTTCGTTGGTGTGATTGGATTGAAAACTTTTAGCCCAACATTTGCAATGCAAATTGTCTACCCACATTTGACATATTTACATAGTTGAAAATTTTTTTTAATGGACATAATTGGAAAAACGTTAAAAATAACATTTTATATTCTAAAAATATCCAATACAATACATATGTACATGCAATAATAGATCATAATATATATGTTTATGCAATAATAGATCATTACAAATACTGTTATGTGTTTAACATGTAATTGATTACTAGTCATGCCATTGTCTTTTAGTTAATAGTATTAATTCATTTATGATATTATCACATAATTTGAAAATATGAATAATATTACATTTAAATACTTTTAAAATATAAATACCATGTTAAAAAGATGACTAATGCAAAGGTACAAATTGGTATCATCCCTATTATAAAAATCGCGAATGTATAAATATCTATTCCTACTCCATGTGGGAAGGGCTCCACCACGTTAACCTCAAAAGCGGACCCGGGGAATGGTGGACGGTCAATCAGACGTTGTACCTAAAATGCCCCCAACTTGATTGCTGAAATAATTCTCCAATTAAATGGTAAAAGATATATCTTATAATTTAAAATATCGGTGATATAATATAAATAAAGGATATGAAAATAATATTATTTAAAATTTTAAAAATAAATATGTATAAATTTAATATATTACCAATCAATCATATTACAAAAAAACCTTGGTTCAAAGAGAAAAAAATGTTTGTTTCACTAAACAAAAAGTTACCAAAGATAGATGTGAGTAAATAGTCGGTTCGATTAGTTTGGTTTGAAAAAATTAATAATCGATTTAATCGACTTTCATTTAATAAATAATCGAATCGATCAAATATTATTAAATAACTGATCATAATCAAACCGATCAAAATCGATTCGATTCGGTCGATTCGATTAAATAATCTATTTTTTTATTATTGTTTTCTTATTATAAATAATTATTTAACCATAAATTCAATTCAATAAAATTCAAACTCTAATATCATTCAAACTAAATTACTAAAGAATTTAATACTTTCAACAATATTTTACAAAAAAAATATAAAAACATTTATCTCAATTTTTTTTATTTTTTAATTATTAAAAGGTTGATTAATTAGATCAGTGCGCTTATCAATTTTAAAAATCAAAAACCAATCGAATTAATCAATTAATCAATTTAAAAAATCGATTATAACTAAAATTGAATAAACCAAATCGATTCAGCCGAATTCATTCGATTGCAATCGATTTAATTGGTGCGATTTGATTTTTGTTCATCCCTAGCTAAAGAGATGGGTGTAATTTATGTCTCCAGTAGTGGAAAAGGTAATGAGAATGATTGGAGACCATGCAATTTAAACAAACCTTTGAAAAATGGTCCAAAGGCCTTGAAATCACTCCAAAAGGAAAAAAAAAAAGTTTGTGATTCGATTTGGTTTGGTATAAATAATGATGGGATGTAAAGAAACATTCCATTAGAAACACAGACACAAAAAGAAAAGAGAGATTCTAAAAGGGCCAAATGCAAAGCATATAACATAAGAATATGCACTTTTACAGCTTGGTTTATAAAAAACACAAAGAAGAATACCTTACCAGATACATAGATTGGTTGATAAATTTTATAAGGTCCTGTTTGTTTTTTTTTTTTCAGTTATGCTGATGTCATGAATCAATGATGAAGAATGATTACGCTAATCAGACTTGATTAATCCTTAAGCAGCTAACTAAAAAAAGAGCATTATTTCCTGATGGTGTTCCGCTTTGACAGATATCTTCGTATGGCAATGACATCCCACTTGCAGCAGCATGTGCTCATACATAAACATGATCGAAACATCTACCATTACGCTTATTCTCAAGTTTCGATCCCCACCTCCCCCCACGATGAAGTGGAGAATGTGCTTATACGTGTCGTCCAGCCACACTGCCACCTGGCAATGAAGGAGACAAAAGGGCTGTTACGGGTTGGTTATTGGTTAGATAAACATAAACATGATCGATATACTTGGATACGATTCCTTGTTGGGTTTAATTTTTAGTAGTTTACGGGAGAAAAAGGTATAGATAAAGTATTTTAGATGAGATTTTATATTAAAAATGATTAAATAAAAATTAAAATTAAAAATTAAAAAATTGAGAGAATAAAAAGTCGTATTATATTGATTAAACGTATAAAATTTAAAAATATTTTAATAAATTTTAATATATTTTTTAAATAAAATATTTTAAATTAAAATTTTGATAAAATTTTTATCGTTTAATAAATATCAATTAATTTTAAATTATAAATAATAAATTTAATAATTTTATAATATTATTGATTTTTATATTAAATTCTATCAATCTATTAATTATATTTTTTAAAAAAAATTTATTAAATCATTTATAAAAAATTTCCACAAACTTAATTAATTTAAATTTAATCCATTTTACTTGACAACCTCCATTGCCGGTTACAAAGACACTGTTTTTTTTTTGGCTTTTTGTTTATTTCTAGTCCGAGACATTAATACCCAACACATTATCTCCTCATCTTTTTTTATTTTATTTTTTTTACATTTGGAACTGTTAAATTTTAAAATTCTGATTATTAAATTAAAATTTTAACATTTTATCAATAAATTATGTGTGGCTCTTGACATAACATTATTTTTTCTAATGAAGCATCGGTGGCTAGTGCATAAATTTTTATTAAAAAATCAAAGTTAGATTTTTCTTCCCACAATTTGAGAAAATTTTTTTTAAAATAAGCTTTTTTGTTTTATTTGAGTTGGGGTCGCTATTACACATTAAATGTACTAAGAAATGATGGGAAAATAAGGTTTTCTTGATGATGTAAAAGATCACATGTCTTCATAATAGTATAATTGCTGGTATTGGAGCTATTCTCTTGATCTCGGCTTCTTTGGGTATGGGTCAATTACAAATCGAAGAAAACAAATTATGAATCGGGCGAAGAGATCTAAATGTGATGATGTGGATGTCTTACATGTTGAGAAAAACAAAATCACAAATGCTTCCATTATTGATGGATCCGTTCTGGGCCGAGGAAATTGTATTTTACTTGTACAAATCAATACTTGTTTAATATTAGTGTTATTTTAATTTTTATAATGTTGATATTTTATGTGTTTTAATTAAAATAATTTTTTAAAAAATTCATTTTTAATATATTAATAATACAATTTGTTGATATTTTAATTTTATTAATTACTATCAACAATAAAATTTAAACATATATTTTCACCGCTAAAATTCAGTAATTCTTCAAAACTAGCATTGTTCAGTGTTTTACTGTGGTTAATATTTGGAACGATGGGGTTAGCACGAAATTTTCCGCGTAAAAACACCGTAACTTCTCGCGTGTCTCGTGACAAACGACGGGATAAAACGCTCTCTACTCACAGTAAAATCATAAATACCGAGGAACAATGGCGGATTCCAACAGAACGGAGTAACTAGATTTAAGGAGTGCATTTGAGATCCGTTTTTTTTTCTTTGTTTCAATTTCCAACACAAACCACACATAAAATATTAGACTGTCTTGTTTCTCACAGTCGTTAGAGTGAGCGAGAGAAGAAAGAAATAGAAAGTCAAGGAAAAACAGATTAAGCGAAAAAAGAAGAAGAAAGATGGGAAGATCTACTTCCTGTTTCAAAATCATCACTTGTGGCAGCGATTCTGCTGAAAATGATGACGCTATCGATGTTCGTGACGTATATCCTTGTCGCCTTTACGGGATTTTTTTTTTTTTTTGCTTTGGTTTTGCTTTGGTATAGGATTTCATGTTCTGTTTCAAGTTGCACTTGATGTTTTAGTTACATTATTGAAAGTTTCAATTTAAAGTGGTCAGTTCCATGTGTTTTGTTTTTGTTACCTTGTTTAATTTGTGGATTTTTTCGAGGAATCGGAGTCTTGAAACTAGACAAACTCCACTATTTTAAGATCTGAGAAATCTTGGCTTTGCATCTATGTTATCAATTTTAAAGCTGCCTTTCAAATCTGATTACTTCCTGAATTTATGAAATGCAATTGTTTTTTAGTTATAGATTTCAAAATCTAGCAAGTTTTTAAATTTTGTTATTTTTAAACTGGAATTTTCAGATATGCAAGATTGGAATGTGAGATGAGGCAAGATTTATTTACCTTTTTATCTGATTGATTCAATTAATGCTGATTCCATTGGTGATTGGCAATGTCCGATAGTTTTCAATGTCAGAAAATGTGTTTACAGAGGAAATGTGAGGCTATTCTTGTTTTGTATTTTCATTTGTTTGATAGATACTGTGGTCCATCTTTTGTTCTTAGATAAATGACAGTTCGTTTTTGATATTATGCTTTTGGGGCTCGATAGCCCTTAACTGAATTCAATTGAATATGGTGCTTACAAGCTGAATAAAGCAATATGTTTAGGGCTAGGATTTAGAATTAAGAGCATTTTAATTAATCTAAAATAGGGCAATTATTCTTTTTTTTTACCAATCTTTCCTTTTATGCATCTCTTTTTAGCTGAATTATGCTGTTTAAATTTCTTTCCAGAACAAGAGATCAAGTGACAAGAAGGGATGGAGTTTTCGAAAGAGATCTGAACGGCATCGCGTGCTTAGCAACATTGTGATACACGAAGCTACTTCCGGGCTTAAGGAAAGCCCAGAATCAGCTGGTTTTAATTTTCAGCAGCCAGATGTCTCCATTGTACCTGAGAAAACCTCCAGTGTTCAATACACTGAAGAGAAACCTCAGTTGCTGACACCGAAAGAGTATATTGACGAAAAATCTCAGTTGCTGGCACCAAAAGAGTATGCTGAAGAAAAATCTCAGTTGCTGACACCAATAGAATGCACTGAAGAAAAATCTCAGTTGTTGGCCCCAGAGGACTCAAAAGTGCCTGAGCCTGTTGCTGCCACCACAAATGAGGCTGAAGATGATGCCAACCTGAATGAATCTGTTGTTGTTATCATCCAGACTGCTATCAGAGGGTTCTTGGTATAATTTATTTCTCAATGTGAATTTAAAACTGACTTGGTAACTTTTTTACTTTTATCTTCTGGTCTTATTTGCAGGCACAGAAAGAGCTAGGAAAGCTTAAAAATTTAGTGAAGTTGCAGGCTGCTGTACGTGGGCACTTGGTTCGAAGGCATGCTGTGGGGACCTTACGGTGCATTCAAGCCATTGTCAAAATGCAAGTTCTTGTTCGTGCTCACCTTTCTCAAGATGGGTCTTGTGCCGGAAAGAAGCAGGATGGCAAGCACCATAAAGAAAATCAAAGTTTGGTAATTCTTTCAGCCAAGATCAATGCTTTGGAGTCACAAGGCTGTTTTGCTTGTATGTTCTGGTTCATATTTTATTGATAGGAAGCATGCTAGCTTCTTCTTTCAAGAAACCTTTCTTTATTATTACAATTTACCTTGGATTCTTTGAATCTATAGCTATGTTCTCTTTGTTGACTCATGTCCTGTGTCTTCAGAGCATTAGGATTTTAGGCATGATTGCTATACTTTATACAGCTTCTTCCTAGTTGAATCAAAGGGTGTAGGATAGTGCTGTTTAGATGGCCGGCTCATAATAAAGGGCACATTCTATGAGCATGCTTTAGTTTCAAGCACGAAGGTTGTAAATGATCCTTAAAGACCTCTGGATATATCTACTTGCGCCCACCTGGCATAATACAGATAGAACTCACCATCTATATTTTGCATGATCTTACTGTTCAGTGTCTGTTTCAGAGAGAGATGCAAATATCGCATGGTATTTTGTTTACCTTCTGACTAGCTTTGCAAGACAGTCAGAAATTATGCGTTGATGGTCCTACAGCCCATGAGTTTGTTTAATTAATTGCTTTTGTATGACAGCAGTATTCAATAAATCATTTAGAAATATATAGCGAACAATATCACCAAATACCTTTGATTAACAAGTCATGGTGGTCCTGGTGGAGAAAGTTTTGCACAATGTGTTGCTTTCAGTAATTGCTATCCTCAGATAATTTTACCCATTCTTCTTTTATTCCTAAAGCAGGGAAGCTCAGCAACAAAACAAAATGTAACTTATACTTCCATAGAGAAGCTGCTTAGCAATAGGTTTGCTTGTCAGGTATGTTAAGTGGACATTTTTTAGCTTCATGTTTTTGAACTATTTGTTTGGCAGCTGTCTCTCAAACTATGTCTACCCATCCGTACTTGGAATTTGCTTTGATTGCAGCTGATGGATTCAACACCCAAGACCAAACCTATCCACATCAAGTGCGATTCATCAAAACCAAATTCTGCTTGGAGCTGGTTGGAGAGGTGGATGTCTGTGTCATCATCTGAAAAGGCTTCAACGGCAGAGTTACCAATTGAACAACTAGAAAGTGAGAAAAATGACAATTGCAACTCCCCAGTTGATGCTACAGCTCCATCTGAAGCTGTTTGTGAGTCATACGAACCAAAGTCTGATGTAAGGGAGATGCTGGTTTCATCAGAGAGTGAAGAGAATCTAATCACATATGATGCAACCAACTTTAAGTTTGAGGCATGCCAACCAACTTCATCTTCGGTAATGGAGGATTTGGAGCAACCTGAGATTGACAACACAAGGTCATCCAACCTGAAAGAGTCCTTGCAAGAGATAAATTTGCAAGATCAAACAATGCAAACAGATGCACGGTCTCAAACAGAGGTCAGTTGTCTTTCTCACAAGCCTGAAATGGAGAGCGAACAACCCAAACATTCTATGAAAAGATTTGCTTCTGAACAACTGGAAACAGAGGCAAAAGAATTTGTATTTGGATCAAGACAGTCAAGTAATCCTACATTTATTGCTGTGCAAACAAAATTCGAGGAGTTGAGTTCAACAGCCAATTCAAGTGGATCAATTAATTCGGTCCACGAAGATGTTGGAGTTGAATCAAACAAGGATATGGTGTCATCTGGGGTAGATACGATAAGCAGGCCAAAGGAGCCAAGCATCACAGAAAATCCAGTCCTCAAGAATTGGAGGGTTCAGCATGGTGGCTCTGAATGTGGCACTGAGCTTTCTGTTACTTCCACTCTTGATTCACCTGATGCATCTGAAGTTGGAACCGTAGAATATGAACATGGAGCCAACGTTTCTGAGCAAGAAAATTGCAGTTCTAATAGTAGAAAGGATTTGGATGTTAAAGAAAATAATGCAATTGTGTTCCCAGTGCCTGATTCTTCTCTATCTGTTGCTGATCAGCTTGAGAAACTTGATGATGCTAACAGTGTATCAGCAAATTTAATTCTTGTAGACTCCCCTCAAGGAGAGCAGGAGCCACTGAAAAGCACATCTGATCTGCAGAAAGAACAAGACTCTGAGACAGCTAATCAAGCATACAGGTCATCCCCAGAAGCTTCTCCCAGGAGCCATATGACTGTTCCAGAATCCCAAGGAACACCTTCTAGTCAGGTATCAGCAAAAGCTAAAAAGATAAAAACTGACAAGAGGAGTCAAAAGCGCAAGTCCATGTCTGCTGCTAAGGGTTCCCCATCAACTCCAGCTTGTGATAGTGGTGCAAGGAGTAGTATGGAACAATTGCCCAAAGATCAGAAAAATGGGACGAGACGCAATTCTTTTGGTTCAACAAGACCTGAGAGCATTAGTGAGGAGCCAAGAGATAGTAATAGTAGCAATATTCTTCCCCATTTCATGCTAGCCACAGAATCTGCAAGAGCTAAGGTTAATGCAAATAACTCGCCAAGATCAAGTCCAGATGTGCAAGAAAGAGACATTTATATCAAGAAGAGACATTCCTTACCTGTTGCTAACGGGAGGCAGGGTTCTCCAAGAATCCAGAGATCAATGTCTCAAGCGCAGAAGGGTGCCAAAGGAAATGGTACCAATCCTCCTCATGGTATGTTCTGGACCTTATTATTATTTCAAATTGTTAACCTCACTATTATCTGTTCAGTATGCAATTTTGCTAGCTGAAAAATACATTAGTTCAGGACATTTCTTTTAAAGGATATTGTACCTTTTATACAAGAAATCAAGCTTCTTACTAGTTTATCTTCATAAATATTCAAGCATAACATTTGACCTCTATTTGCTAGCAGTCACTTTTGTTGAGCTTTTTTAACATGTGAAGGTCTTTACTTGTTTCTCCTTGTTGGTACACCTCTCATATCAAGAAATCCTTGTGGTTAGTGAAGCTTTTGCATATTTTTATTCATTTAGCCGACTATATGCCATCATGACAAGCTGCCTTGGCCCTTGTGACAACTAGAAAGGGTTGGGCCTTTAGGTTTCCATTTTGGTTGTTGATAGGGAATATAGAGGTTTTCACATATGACTTGTGCTTAACTGGCCAAATCCCCAATTTTCTTTTTTCAGAGAGAAGATGGCAAAGGTGAAGGGTTATTCAGAGCAACCATATAACACGGTACCATGGTGTTCAACCTCTCAGATTGAAATTTGGAACGGATTGATGGTCTTTCTGTCTAGTTTTATGCCTCAACATCTCAATTAAGTTGATTCAAGCATGCCATCTACATTTAGGGTTTGACAAGGGAGGAGTGAGGAGATATCTATATAGTTTCAAAACCATTGATATATCTATATATATATATATATATTTTTTTTTTTTTTTCTGAACTTTCTGCCTGGGAAGTATGCTTGTGTGTTTTGTTCAACAGTGTTTGGTTTGATGTTACTCAAGTTTTTTACAGCATGTTTTGGGATGTCTGTTCGGGGTTTAAGATAATGATTGTAATGTGGAGAGCTTTAGAAAGGGCTTTAGATTACTGTTTCCTGTAATAACTCGGCCGTTCTCTGTTGCATTGGCCACCACTCCCATGACTAATTTATATTTTTTTTCAGTTCCATTGATTAATTCTATAAAATTGAGTAAAATTTTGAATACAGTTTCGTCTAAGTTTAAGATTTAAAATGTTTTTTTTATATTATTTGGACTCCAATCTGAAGTAAGAAGGGAGATTTGGTAATTTGAGTTTATTTTGTATTTTTTGTGAATAAAATAAGAAAATTATTATATTTAATGGAATTTTTTAAAGTCTTTAGTCGTTGGGATCAATAGTCCCAAAACAAGGCAATCAAGGACCTTGGACAAGGGCCCATAAAGCCCAATCAAATGAAAGCGGAGCCACGTGGCATAATTTTGCTGACAGAACGATGAGTGTATACTGTTGTTGTTGAGTTTGACCGTACCAAAGCTACGTCTCTTTTCGTCAACTTACTGTCCTTTCATCGTTTAACTCAAAAATAAATAAATAAATAATCAGAAAAAAAAAAAAAGAAAGCAGAAGAAAAGGAAAGAAAGAAAAAGAAAACTGTGGTCAGAATCTTAACCGAAGCCCACGTCATTTTAAACGCACATGCATTTACAGCGCGTGTAATACAACCTAAGCAATTCCAACGCCCCTCCACTCCACGCGTCAGAAGATTGCGTGTGACAGCGCTTACTCAACAGAACACCTCAGTACAGAACAGAAGCCTACGGGAAAGAACGAGAAAGAGAGAAAAGAAAAAAAAAATTCAAAAGAGAAATAGGGAAAAAAAAAACAGATAGAAAAACGGCAAGGCAGAAAATCTGGAGGATCTAGGGTTTCCTTGGATCTCTCAGTATCGAAAAATTCGATGATTTGATATAGATTTATATGTATTTTTAATCGATTAGTTCTTTGTTTATATTATTATTAGGGTTTTCGAGACGGGTAAGTTGATTTTTAAAGTTTGAGAGGCTGCAGTGACTTTTTTTTTTAAAGACAGTAGTTGTGGAGTTAGGTTTTAATCTATCGAACCCTAAAATCGGTGATTTTTGGAATTGGACTGCAACATTTCAACCGAGAATCGAATCTGGAAAGGAGGGTTTTTGAGAGATTTTTTTTATCTTAATATAATATAGTATTTTTTTCAATCTGTAAATATGCGAGGACTGCACAAATCGAAAAGGGTTACTTGGGCACCGGATGTTAACCTTTGTCAGGTAAAAATTGCAATTTTACTTTCGAAATTCCCAAATTTTGAGCTCAGTTTCAGGTGAAATAAAGAAGGGAAAACGATGGTGGAAATGTTAAGTTGAATGGACCAAAAAAATTGAAAAATGAAGCTATTTACCCCTTCTTGTCATGCTGTTTTTGGGGTTTTTTATAATAATTTTTTTATTTGTTACTCTGTGTCTTGAATTGTATCTGAACCTCTCTGGTGGTTGATTTAGTTCATTTTTAGTATTCTTGTGAAGTATGATTCCTAATGTGTATATCATCTTGGCGATGGCATTGCCATATGAAGCCTTTTAGGGTATGAAATGGTGGGCTCTTCTTTTTCTTTTTTTCTTTTTCAGTGGTATTTATGGCTAATTTAGTTTTTGCACCTTTTTGGAACTGTTTCTATGGGAATAAATCTGTCATAGAGTTTGTCATGCTAGTTGGACACAGAAATGAGAGAACGAGAATGGTAAGAGACTTTGACTTTTAGCTTTTTCGAAAATGCTAATGAAGACAAAATTATACCTCTGATTAGCATCTCTGGCTTGTCAATTCATGATAACAAGAGTACCACTGTAAAATTTCTATGGAGTTTGATTAGGATGCACGATAAGTTAATGAATGCTTGTTGTATTGCTTTAGTTCTGAAGTCTTCACTTTATATTGTTGCTTGTAGTTATAAGAAAAGCTTCCAGTTTGTGGTTTGCGTCCTTTTTCTTGTAGGATAATTAACTGTCTTTCGAAAGTGTGTTAACTATTTTGCTTTGGCCCTGAGTCCTAAAAAATTTGAAAGAATCTTCAGTTTCCTTTAGAGAAGTTCCAATTTTAGTATCTCTAATTGATAGATGTATGAGGTTCTTTACAAATTGAAAGGGCATGCACCTATATAGCCACCATAGGTTGATAATGAGTGTTTTCTGTATCATCCTAAGATCTTCAATTGAAAGTCTGAATTAATTTGAAATGAAATTTTACTCGTTTGATATGAGGCTTCGGAAATGTCATTTGCCAAAGGTCTTTGTGACTGAAAGGGGGCAATCCCACCAATTCAGTAAGCCAATGTTTTCAAGCTAGTGTGAGAGAAGGTCCAAATTTGGTCTTCAATGAGTCAAGTAGTGAGAGTGAAGAAAGCAGTTTTTCCTCAATAGATGATCTAACTTTCTTATCCCTACCTTACAGCAAAAAGACCCATTTATATGTTGGTTGGTAACATTTATCTAATTCTAAAAGTCTTGGTTAGATGCGTGTATTTTTGTATCTAATTGATGGCTAACTGGTTGTTGCTGCCATCTTAACTCATCTATCTGACCGTCAAGGAGCAAATACTTCTTCTCTGCCGCATCTTAACTCATCTAAGTTTATAGGCTGCTTATACAGCTGGCCCCTATTATCTATTTCTGACAAGATGGTTGTTTGCCGGGTACTAAACATAGTTGAGTAGCTAATACTAGATTTTATGGTGCTTCTGATTGTAACACTATTAGGTGAAGTTTACTATGATAGGCATCTGAAATTCGCATTGAGATTTTATTAGTCTAGCTGATTCTTTGTGAGAGGTGAAAGATTTGTAATAGCTCAGAGAAAAATGACAGATTGTCGCTTATCTGCATCACAGAATGCAGTAGTTTATTTGCTTGTACTTTCATTTCATTGTTACATATATAGCGTGAGAAAGTTTTGAAAAATATATCCCTGTTTATATACAAGCTTTCTTCAGTTCAGTTTCTAATGGGTGCTTCTACAATATAATGATAATTGAGCATTTTACAACCCTGATTTGTTGAAGATGATCAGTAGAAAATATAAATGCTTCTCCTCTTAACAGATAAGGCTGTTTCTATCAGAGGAATCACCTTCACAAATTGGGTTGGGCACACAAGATCACCTGCAAGCAAAAACCTCTTCGGTATCACATTTAATTGGGGCAGCTGTGGATGACTTTCTACCTCCTGGCTTTGAAGGAGCTCATTCTACAAATCATCTGCAGATTAAATTGCCAGAAATCCCTGTCATTAAATGGAGATGTCCCCTCAGAGTAAGTAACAGTTCTAAAGACTTCTTTTCTCGCCATTTCCATTTTAATTTGATTTATAATTATTGCTCCCAGCATTTCTGTGGAAGCTGAATTTGCATTGTCACAGTTTGTATTGGACTTGAATTGGCAAGTAATTGCCGGAGAGGAAAGTAAAGAGGTGGAGATTCAAAATCAGAGAGAAGTGGGATTGCTTGAAGCTGTTTATCCACGCCCATCTGCAATTCCTACAAAGTCTGATACTTTTCTTTCTTTTTTTAATGAAGGGGTTGTGTGTGGGTTTTCTAAAAACTGCTTCTCCTGAGTTTTACTTTTCCATGAGCCTAAATTTTCTTCTCCTTGTGCAGCCCTTCTGTTTCGGCTGATGCAGAAAGCTGTCACTATGATGATCATCGTACTCCCCAAATACCCATCACTCCTATTGAAGATGAGGATGCAGCAATTGAAACATCTGACGTCTTAGCACCATTCAGTGCCCCCATTAGTTCACAGCTCCGGTTGTTGGCTCCTGGTATTTTACCTCCTCTGCATTGCGGTATGCCAAGTGTTTCAAGTGCTTCAGGTAATGAGAAACCAGCAGCTGCAATGGTCCTTAATGTTGAACCCAGTGTAGCAGCTGCTGCATCTGCTGCCTTTACAGCAATTAACCAAAGCAATGAATGTGGAAACATGATTGATCCTGACTTGCTCGTCAAAATTCTCAGCAACCCAAAATTATTTGAGAAATTGGTTACAGATTATGGAGCGGCTTCAGGTGCACAAAACTTACCTAAATCAGCATCCCCTTTGCTACCTTCTTCTGACCCACCTCCACCTGTAAATCTATCCGATCCATTTCCTGCCCACTTCAACAGAACAGCAAATGGTATGGCATCCCTAGCAGCTACTTCTGGTGGAGCGTTATATGCTCAGCCAAATGAGGTTGGACTTGCACCCTCTAATAAACAGGGTCCTGTTCCCAGTGTCCATCCAGTTTCGCCTTCACCTGCTGTTGGACTTCCTCAGAAGAAGGATGTAAACTATTACAAGAACTTGATTCAGCAGCATGGAGGAGAAAGACAAGGAGCAGCTCAGAAGTTCAATAGCCGATATAATCACCAGCTAAGACCAAACCAAGAACTAATAAATAACCCCAAATCAAGAGATTCGAAGCCGAGGATAATGAAGCCTTGTTTGTACTTTAACAGTTCCAGGGGATGCAGGAATGGAGCCAATTGTGCGTATCAACATGATACATCGCCCCAGAATTCAAATACTGACGCTTCAAATGCAAAGCGAATGAAAATGGATAGAGAGATAAGCAGTTAGCAAATACTAGTGCAAATATGCCTTTTTCACTTAGAAAAAGCGTGCCGCTGCCCTACCTTTTATTCCTTTACTGGCTTGTTTTCTTTTTGCAAATAGTTTAATTCCAGTACTCACCCTTTGTTTTTTTCCTGAATCAAGCATTGAGATTTAAGTTATGGGCGAGAGAGCCTGGATAATCACAATCAATTGAGGATATTCATCTTTAAGAGAGCATATTTTGTTTCCTTTTCCGTCATATTGCAGGCATTGCTAATCTCGCTTACATAAATGACACTATCACAAGGAATGCTGGCCGGCTGTCCACGCTGAAAACTACAATGTGGAGTACTTGAATTTCATGAATTGTCCACGCTGAAAACTACAATGTGGAGTACTTGAATTTCATGAATTTTGCTTGGAAAGGAGCAATTAATCCCAAAAAACTTGGTTCTTCGAAATGCTGCATGGTCGCTGTCTTTATTTTTCTTTGGGTTTCGCTTTTCATTTTAAACAAGGCCCGAGCCCAAAAGCCAGATTGTTATACAAGCAAATGATACAAAAAGACCTTTTTTTATCTTTAGAGCATTTTTTAAAGAGCTTCATCTAATTCCCTCGGAGTGAACATACAATCCAACTTCGGTTTCTGTAATAACAACGACAGAAGGAAGAAGATGTTGAAGTTTCTATCGAAAGTACGGATTGAGTTCAATGCATTGGACCCACGCATAGCTTCATGCATGGAGTTCTTAGCCCAGTGCAATGCCCGCAAAGCCAAAGAATCGAATCCCGTATGCTAGCTTCAGGTCAAGCGCCGCACCGACGATCACCCGCCCCAAATCACCGTTACTTTCGTCAACGGAGTGGAAGAAGTTTTCGATGCCACATCGACTCCTGCACAGACCATAAGGAACATGATTCTCGAAAAAGGTCAGCTCCTTGAGACCGAGCAAATGCTCCGTGAAGCTGGAGAGAAGTGGCCCGTTATTATACCTGGGGAGGAGCTTCACCAATCGCTTCCTGGAACTAACGTTTGGGCATATATATATATATATATATATATATTCTCAGTTTAATGATTTCTGGGTTGGTTTCCAATTGTTGGTTCTTTGTGTTTTGTTGCTAGAGGCATTTTGTCGAATAATTAGTATGTCTCTGTAGATTATCGAATTGACATATAATTTGGTCTGATTTGATCATTATTTGCCGTATTTACGTTCTGCTTGTTTAAAAAGATAGGCTAAAAGATATCAACTGCATGATGAATAGTTATTCTCAGTCTTTGTCTTTTCAAATTTTGATTTAAAGTATCTTCTGCTCCTGATAAGAGTATCAATTCTAACTATATTTTTCTTAATTTTGATTTATATGCCTAATTCTGGCAAATTAATGTGAGAAATTTCTGTTTCAGGATTACTAAAATGGTTGCTACAGTGCTATTGTTTTGTTTTGTAACCTATCTAATTGTATACCTCCATTTTCTAGATACTCATTGTCATGGTTTTTTTCCCTTTTTCTTCAGCGAGGAAAGCAGAAGAGAAGAAGCAGTGACTCCAGTCTGTCTGATCTTGGCCATTTTACTGGATGTCACTTTGGAAGATCATCAAATGTTCCATTGTATGATGAAGCCCGAGAAAGTACCTTACATGAACATTTTGAAGCCTGATTTATGCTGCTAGAATGTGTTTTCTTATTCTTCCTAATGTTGGGTGTATCAAGTTACTTGAATTGAACTCTATCTATATGAGTTAATTGTTAGAATCTCATTTGATTTCTTTGATTTCATCTATTTCTTGTTATAGGAAATCCTTTTTGGTTGAATCTCGCTGTAACGATCTACAAATAATAGCAAAGTTTTTGCTTTGATATGACTTTTTCTGCTTATGATATGAATTGACTATATCATGCTGTATGCACGATATTACCCATATGAATTTTCATGTTGCTTCAATTGTGGGACTAGTCGACCTTGATGCTGCCACGTGTGCAGACATGAAAAATGTAACTCTACGATTGATTTGATAATCCCTGGAAAAACGAATTTAGAGCCGTTGATCTTGCTTACTTTTAAATTTTTAAAACTGTGAAAAGTCAAAGTCTCTTCTTTCTTAAGAATAACCCAACCGACAACTTTGCTCTCCTAGAGTTACTGTGTCTTAAATCTGAATTTCCTGGGACTAAGTGAAAGAAAATCTCAACTTGCTCCATTTCACAAATCCAACTCTCAAAAAGACTAAAAGACCCATTTTTATCCTCTCTCGCTTCACTCCCTAGCAGAGAAGCAATAGAAAGAAAAGCAAAGCCAAGATGGGTTCGGTTTCACTGAAAATCGGAGATGGAACGGCAAGATTCAAGAGAGCAACACTTTGTTCTTCAGCTGTTAACATTCTCATGCTTTTCTCTGTCATTACAACCAATCTCTTTGCTTTATATGCCTTCTCGTATTCACCAAAACAACACATAAACAACCCGCTTCACCATCCCCACAAGAACATCTCTTTAATCTCTCAGCAAGTTTCTTTGATTATTAGAGAAATCGATTCTTCTCAAAGAAAGCTTGCCCAGTTGGAAAAGGAGCTCCTTGGTTATGACACTCTCGATCTTTCGAGGCCCAATCTTGCTAGTGAGCTTAAGTTGTTTTTGCAACATCATCAGCTTCCTTTGGGGAAGGATTCAAGAACTGGGATCACTGAGATGGTGGCTTCTGTGGGACATTCTTGTGAAAAATCTGCTGATTTGTTGTCCCAGTACATGAGTTACAAGGTTTCTGGACCTTGTCCTTACGACTCGAGTCTTGCTCAGAAGCTAATGTTGAGGGGATGTGAACCTTTGCCAAGGAGGAGGTGCTTTGCCAAGACTGTTCCTAAGGTAGGTCTTAGTTCTTTACCTGTTTCTCTCTGGAAACCTGTTAGTGAAAAGATTGTTTCTTGGAGTGGTCTTGGTTGCAAGAATTTTAGCTGTTTAAATAGTAAAAAATTGAGTAGAGATTGTGTTGGGTGCTTTGATTTGGTTAATGGATATGAGACTCAGAAATATGTTAAGTCTAGAAGCAAGAATGATTTTCTTATTGATGATGTGTTAGCTATGGGGAATGGTGGGATTAGAATTGGATTTGATATTGGAGGTGGGTCTGGTACTTTTGCTGCTAGAATGGCTGAGAGGGATGTGACTGTGATTACCATCACGTTGAATGTGGATGCACCATATAGCGAATTCATTGCTGCAAGAGGCCTTTTCCCTTTGTTTTTGAGTTTGGACCATAGGTTTCCTTTCTATGATAACGTGTTTGATATGGTTCATGCCACAAGTGGATTAGATATTGGAGGTAAACCAGAAAAATTGGAGTTCTTGATGTTTGATATAGATCGCATTTTGAGGGCTGGTGGCTTGTTTTGGTTAGATAAGTTTTATTGTGCTGATGATGAAAAGAAGAGGGCTTTGACTCGTTTGATAGAAAGGTTTGGGTATAAGAAGCTGAAATGGGTTGTAGGAGATGCAGCTGGGTCAGCAAAACCCGAAGTTTATCTATCTGCTGTTTTACAGAAGCCAGTGAGAATCTGATGGTTTGAGATTTCTGGGAAACTGATGTAAGAATTGTTTGAATTTCTAGCTTTGTCCAAATTTATTGCCTTAAATATCCTCATGAATTTATTCTAAAGTGGAATAAATGCTGCAATTGTGATGGAGGATGGCCTCTATTCTGTAATCTAAAGCCTTTTTTTTCCCCTTATCTTCTTTCGTATTGTATTAGGAAAAGAAAATTTTCCTAGTGTATTCTTGAAATTGTGTCAAGTTAATGACATTTGATGTTTCATTGCACTTGAACGATGCCTATTGCAGAGCATCTTTTGGCCCTGAATATCATGATTCTAACCGTATGCTTGGATCTCAAGCATCTTCCTGTTGATTTCTTTGAAGCCATATACGATCACCTTAAATCATTATGCATGAAATCAAACTGCCATTTTACTTACCCTGGCATTTCTTGTTGTCTTAACTTGCCTCAGCTTGCATTGCTAATATTGACAAATTTAAATGATCAACTAATATTGGCTAGTGGGTTATATCATATTGTTGGTCATATATGATCATAAGGATGTAATGGATCTTGGAAATAATCTCTATCACTCGTCAGAATTGATTTAAGTTTTGATTTCTGATAATAATATTTGCTAAAAGTTAATTTTCCTGCTGGAAAATGCATGTTAAATTCGTACATCATATTCCACCTCTACCATGTGAAAGCTAGAGGAAGAGCACCCGAATAGCAAGCTGAAGCTTGCAGGCATACTAGTGGTATTCAGAAAAACCAGCAGGATATTATCTGGTTTCAGCAATCCGAGACTCTCCTGCCATTTTTATGTCCAAATAAACAATGAAACATTCTTGGGTAACCTCAAATCGCAAGGGCAATTCAGCTCGGTGGAATCTTAAGTATTTCAACCTTCAACATTAATGCCTTGCACTGTGGCACTGTTGAGAAGCTTCATCCCCTCTTCGCTCATCGGTTGTACTTCTGTAGGGGATAGAATTCTGATGCAGCGGACACACCCAACGAATTCCCTGTAAAGACATCAAATTATAGCTGTCATAAGCTATAATATCAAGTAAGTCGACCAACCACAGAAGAATTAACAAATGAAATATATATGTATATATATATATATATATATATATACTGATTAAAAATATATTTTTTTTAATTTTATATTGTGTAAATATATAAATATATATGTATATATATATATATATATATATTTATAGAGGTACTTACTCCCATGGATCAACCCCAACAAGTAGAACATCATTCTCATTATCCACGTACACTAATTTCCACCCTAACCTCTCGGATCGTCAAGCAGCCCCTTAAGTCCAAACATGCATTCAATTGCAGAGATTAGTTCATCATAGTTCTTAAAACTCGAGACATCAATTGACCTTCCAACAGAACCTGCCTTTTGAACCTGTCAGCCAGAACCAATGAGAGTTAGAAAAACGGGAGTTAAAAAAAAATAATAATAATAATAATCATGTACCCATGAAATAAAAAATGAACCACGCAATCTGCTCATCACTCCAGTTGATGCCTTCAGAAATTTCATATTCTAAATCTAAATTGATATAATACCTTAGTATATGTTCTCACACGTGGAGCCATTTGCTGCCATGAATTATTCTGCAGAATGCCACTCTCATCAAAATCAACCTTGTTGGAAGAGGTGCCACCTGAGCTGTCTGGTACGTCTTGATGAGAGAAAGCCTGAGAGTCTGCAAGGCTAGCAGAGGTAATCTGAGACTGAACATCCTGACTAGAGCTAAAGTTTCCAACTGAAGGATTTTGAAAATCAGCATCCGTCGATAAGCAATACTCATCCAGAATGACACCGGAAACGGAAGGATCAATCACAGTGCTGCCACTATTACTAGCATCAATGTTAAGACAGCTGTATAGCCCACTTTGATTATTGCTGTCATCAGACAAATCTCTCATCCCACCAGAATTAAGACTGCATGGGTCTTGCTGAGTAAATGAATTTAATTAGTCAGCTTGGGATAAAAACCTAAAATTATTCAGCTGATGATCCCATGTATCCTAACCCACTGTAGTTAAAGAAGGATTAGTTGCTTCATGAAAGAAGGTTGAGGAGTCTTGTAACCCAGCCACTGGTATAGGACCAGGTGATCTATAAATTCCGGCAAGAGGTTGGCAAGAAGAAGAAAGGTGTGATGTCCACTCATAGGTGTCTAAGAAAGGAAGAAAACTGCTTAATGTATTAATATCAGCATGTGATACTTGCATTTGATGAGCTTGGAGGACAGATGATTCCAACTGTGACAGAATGAGCCATGGATTATTTTGCAATGGGAATGGAATCTGGTTCTGGTTAGAGAAAGAAAGTTGGTTCAAAATAGTTGGACTTGTAGCATTTGCAGCCATTTTTTCCTCATTGCGCTCTGATGTTGAAGTCAACTGGCTTAACTGATCAGTTGAATGCTCTGGTTCCAACTTCAAATTTTCATTATCGCTCCCAGCTTGTGTTTGGCTTTCATACTTGTTTGCAGGATGTGGGTTCCCATTAGCATTTATTGTGGGCAAACTTGAGCTGATGATATCAGGTTGGTCAGTGGCTACGTGGGAAAGATTTTGGTTTTCTATCAACAGATTTTCTGATTGGATAAGCTGAGGTTTCTGATTGCTTGTAGACTGCATGTTCTTCATCTCTTCTAATGGAGATCCCTTTGCAGCAGAAATTTGTTGTAAAGTAGATGCAATATGGTTAACAAGCTGAGGCTTTGGCATCGTCTTCACCAATTGTTCAGAACATAAATTTGAGATTGAATAGGGAAGATTCCCATTTCCATTTTCAGGAAACAGGTGGAGGGGCCTTTTTATCAAGCATCCCCAGTCAGATTCTATTCCTGTGAGCATAAAAAAAAAAGTCACTAGATAAGTATTTAAAAGTGTTGCACACCACTCAACATCGCAAACAGAAGCTTACCCAAAATTCCAGGATGTAATGTTTGCTTGAGACCTGAAGTTAGAGAAGGAAAAGTAAAGATGCTTTCAGGAGTTTCAATTTCCCATGCGCTACCCTATTCTGTTTGTCATTGCATCCAGGTTCATCCCACTCAACCTGTTTAGACAATAGGTACAAGAAGTTCCATTATTAAACTGGCCAGTGGATAAAGCTCTATCATATAATAGGAAGATGTAAACCAGTATCCTGTTGCAGCAAACAGTATTCGGTTAAATGAAAGAAACCTGAAGGTTTCGCCACTTTGAGCCAGGCCATCTAAGAGGATCCAAGTCACTAATACCAAGTATTGTACCCTTATATCTGCAGAAAATTGAGAAATATTAACAGATATCAATCTAGATAGTTGGACATATTGAATATTTATCCTAGACTTCAAACACACATTAGAACAAACAATATTGTTATGTTTCTCATGTAGAACAATCTTACAATAATTGTATCATCAAAAATTGTCAAGAAATAATATAAAATAAGCTTATAGCATTTCACTTCGTTCATGGTGTAACAAAGCTTTAACCATCCAAGGAGGTCAATCATAAGTAGTGCCTTAACCCCACAATGATCATTATAACCAAAATTTCTCTAACACCTTAAGTTAGAAACATACGGTGAGAGGATGAAACTATCTAGTAACTTACCTACGTTTTCCCGACTCCTCGGTTTCAAACATCATTCCAAACCTCATCCCAACAGAGACTTGAGGCCCGTATACAGATTTACAGTATTTAGCCAAAGGGATGACAAATTCTGA